GTTTCACCCAGCACAGCAAGGCACGGAGGGTTTGCTGGTTCCTGTGGCCTGCAGCACCCACACAACTCGTGGTGGTGAGGAACAGCTGTGGCACATTCTGTGCTCTCTACAGGCACAAATACCCCACCAGCCCTCTGGGCAGCACGGGGCCAGCACCCCCACAGGAGCCACGGAGACAAAGGGATGTGAAAACACAGCCCCCGAGGTGCCTCTTCAGGGAAGGGCAGCCCAGTGTCACCCATGGGGCTGTTGGGGACACTGATGCTGTGCCAGCCACCCCAGCACAGAGCACACCAGCTTCCCACCAGGACCACCCCATCTCCTGCCAACAGCCGGGACAGGCCTGCTCCAACCCCCACTGAGCCCTGGGGATGTTCTAAGGAGCTGGATTTCTCCTGTAAACAAGGGCTGCTGATCTGGCACTGCACATGGAACATCTCCAGGGGCCAGGCTGCTCCGGAGCAGAGACAAGAGTGGCATCTCTGCGCTGTGTCCTTGTCCCCAGCAGAAGCAGCACGAGGGAGGACAGAGGTGTCCAGGGTGCCTGAGCCACGGCACTGCACAGGAGCTGCAGGCAGGCAGGTGAGCTGCAGCAGGGGCAGGGAAAGGAGCAGGAGCAGCCACGCACTGACCTCTCGAAGATCTCTCGTTCTGCGCGCTGGGGACAAGGAAAGAAAGAGTCACCAGAGTTGAAATGCCCACGGGTGAAATCCCAAACACAGGCTGAGGCACAGCAAACCCAGGAGCAGTGTTCTGCTTCCTGAGCCAGAGAAACCACCCCTCACCCCAACACCAACCCTGGGGAGCATCCAACATCCATTTTCCTCAGCTGCAGCACTTCCCACTCCCCAGCTCAGAAAATGAGTGGGAACGGCTGAGGGCAATACATCCTCTACATCCAGTTGGGGCACTGTCTGCTGCCCTCCCTCTGCTCCCACTCCACTGGGGAATGCTGCAGGAACAGCCTGTGCTTCCAGCAAACAACTCCAGGGCTTTTAGCAAGGGGGTGGTGACAGAGGAACTAAGCCAAGAGTCAGGTAATCTCATAGTTGGTCCCACTTGTTTCTGTTCCTGCTGGTCATGGGGCATTCTTCAGATACAGTAAAGTGGTAGGAAAATATCTGATCCCTGCTCAAATCTGAGCTGCAGGGCAAGCTGCAGGCCTGTGGCATGGCACCTGCTGATTCCTGATAGACACAAGTACTAACACCAGCAATTAAAGGTCCCAAATTCCCCTCCACCACGTGGCAAAAGGGTCTGGCTGTTCTCTGGCACAGGAAGCTGATGGGTCCTGCTCTCCATGGTGCAGCCACAGCCCAGCTGAGCTGCTGGGGCAGGACAGACACCGCTTTTCCTACCAAAGGAACATCTGCCCTCTTCCTATGGGATCGGGTCTGTTTTCTAAGCAGAGCTGCTGCCTTCTTTCTCACAGACTCCCAGGTGGGAAGCAGAGGCTGAGCATGGTGGTGGGAGGCCATCCTGCTCCCCTCCAAAATGAGAGGAATCACTCGGGTAAACCCAGACAGTTCAATAACCAGAGAAGGAACTGAGGGAGGGGAAGCACAGGCTGCTCTGCACAGCAAATATCCCAAATAGAGCTGTGCCAGACGACAGGGGGGACTTTCCAGAAGAGATGCAGGTGGTCTCAAATCAGTTTTGATTCAAATTACACACAACAGTAGACAACTGGTGGCACAATGAACTGCTGTAAGAGCAGCTCTCAGCCCACAGCTGTCCTGGCTGTCTGGCCTAAGGGCAGCTGCAAGCCAAGAGCTTGGACACCTGAGCCTGGGTGGTTCTGGACCTCACTGCAAGCCAGAGCAGGATCAGGCAGAGCAGATGCTCTGGGAAACACTGAGAAACCACGGGGGTTTATCAGGTCCAGGCCAAGGAGGTTCCCTGAGCTAGACCTCTGTCTCCTCGCTGTCAGCACAGCAGTTGCTGAACACCACATTTAATCCCCATGGTAAGAGGTCCAGGTGACCTCTGGGCTGACCGACCCCCCCCTCAGAGCATGGAGCAGTACTGACCAGCAGGCCCTGGTCATCCAGGTTGGTGATCATGTCCACCAGGTAGGTCCGGAGGGCTCCCAGCTTGTGCAGAGCCTGTGTCCAGTGCACCTGCTGGGTCAGGATGCTCTGGTGTGCCCTCTCCTCCTCGGCGTGCACCCTCTCCAGCAGCCGCTGCTCCTCGTTCTCGCAGGCCTTGCCCACGAAGAGCAGCCTCTGGATCACCAGCTCCCGCGCCGCGCTGGCCGCGCTCTGCCGGAGCAGGGACAGGAGCAACATCAGCCTTCCTGCAGCCCCAGCGAGAGCCCCAGCTGCTCCTGCCAGCTCTCTGTGGGCTCAGCCATCAACACTACTCTGCTAACTGAGCCCAGGCCACAGCAAATGTCGTGGTACAGGTGGGACAAGCAGTCCCAAACCCACCTACAGCCTCCTGGCCTAACTGTGACAACCTGTGAGTTCTGTCCCTCAGCAGATCTCCATGGATTCCCTACTGGTGAGACACATGAGAACAGCCTGATGGAGCTGAGACTGCTCAGCCTGGAGAAGAGAAGGCTCTGGGAAAACCTTAGAGCCCCTTTCAGTGCCTAAAGAGGCTCCAAGAGAGCTGGAGAGGGGTTTTGGACAAGGGCCTGGAGGGACAGGACAAGGGGGAATTGGCTTTAAGCTGAAGGAGGGCAGGGTGAGATGGGATACTGGGAAGAAATCCTTCCCTGTGAGGGTGGGGAGGCCCTGGCACAGGTTGCCCAGAGAAGCTGTGGCTGCCCCTGGATCCCTGGAAGTGTCCAAGGTCAGGTTGGACAGGCCTTGGAGCAACCTGGGCTAGTCGAAGGTGTCCTTGCCCATGGCAGGGGGTGGGAACAAGATGGTCTTTAAGGCCTTTCCAACCTAAACCACTTTGTGATTTTATGATTCTATAACTGTCCTTTGCCCCCATCCTCAGTGACAGCAAGGAACAAATAAAACCAGGAATTGCTAAGACACTGGTCCTAGTGGGATGTTTGATTGCTACACTGACACCAAGAAATGTACTGTCCTCGTACATTTTTTAGGCAGGTGAGGCAGCAATCACAGGCACACCCTAGAACTCCACTTCCACAGCTGTGGGGTGGGACAATCCCTGCACACTGATGGGCCCCCAGAGCTCGGCATCTCCAATGGGAATGGTGAGCAGGGAGCACGTGGGGCCAGCTGTGCTGGGAGAGGGGCAGGGACTCACCAGGACAGCCTGGTCCTTGGCAGGGGCAGGGACTCACCAGGACAGCCTGGTCCTTGGCAGGCAGCACCTCGTCCACATGCCGGGCGATGGCCGCGCTCTGCAGCTGGATCCGCTCACACCGGTCCACGAGCTTGTCCTGGGACACGGAACAGCAGGTGATGGACACGGGTCTGGACAGGGCCACAGCACCCTGAGCCCCCCATCAGCCTGACCCCACCAGGCCCCACAGCTGTCAGGGTCCTTCTGCACCACCCCACAGTGAGTCCCTTCCCCACAGGGGACCCCCTACACAGCCCCTCCCATGGCCTCATATCCCATCAGGGTCCCCCACACCCCACCAAGGACCCACGGGGTCCCACACCTGCCCAAGGATCCCCAGGCACCCCCATAGCCTGTCTGGGACCCAACACTCCACCAGGGACCCCAGGCACCCACACCCCGCCAAGGACCCCCAGGGTCCCACATCCCACATCCCACCAGTCTCGTCTGGGACCCCCACACTCCGTCAGGGGTCCCTGCAGTCCCACAACCCGCCAGAGCCCCAAACCCTGCCCAAGGACTCCCATGGCTCACCAAGAACCCCAAGGGTCCCACTCCCTCCAGGGACCACCACACTCTCCCACAGACCCACTCCGCGTCCAGGATCCCCACACCCCCCAGAGATCCCCAGGACCCCACACACCCCCCAGGACCCCACACCCCAGCCGGGACCCCCCACACCCCAGCCGGGACCCCCCACACCCCAGCCGGGACCCCCCACACCCCAGCCGGGACCCCCCACACCCCAGCCGGGACCCCCCACACCCCAGCCGGGACCCCCCACACCCCAGCCGGGATCCCTGCGGCCCCACTCCCCCCAGGGACGCCCCCACTCCCTCACGGACCCGCAGCCCCTCCGGGACCCCCAGAACCTCCCAGGGACTCTCCCCTCAGGAACCCTCACGCCCCGCCGGAACTCCCCAGTCCCACACGCAGCCCCTCTCCCCGCCCCGCCCGGCCCGGCCCGGGGCTCCCCTCAGCGCCGGCGAGTCCCGGGCTGGGATCAGAGTCGAGGTCGAGGTCGGGGTCGGGGTTAGGTCGGGCCGGGTCCCCCCACTCACCCGCAGCCGCTCCGGCCCGCCCCGCCGGGCCATGCTGTGCCCGCACCTGCCGCGGGGGCGGCGGCCCCGCCCGGCCGGCTCGGCTCGGCTCCGCCCCGGGCGGGACTCGGCGGGACCGGCCCCGGGAGAGACACGGCGGGACCGGCCCCGGGAGAGACACGGCGGGACCGGCCCCGGGAGAGACACGGCGGGACCGGGCTGGGAGAGACACGGCGGGACCGGGCTGGGAGAGACACCGCGGGACGGGGCCGCTCCTCACACGGTGAGTGCGCCGAGGGGCCCCGGGCTAGGCCGGGGGGCTGCCCCAGCCACAGGGACACGGCCCCCAGGGGCTGTGCCCGCCTCGTCCCTGTGGGGCTGCCCCATATCGCATCTGTGGGGCTGCCCCAGCGCAGGGACCCGGGATGCCCCCATTGACCCCTACAGGGCCACTCCCATCACAGGGAGCCAGGATGACCCCACTGACTGCCCAGGGGGTCACCCCCATCCATAGGGAGCTGGAATGCCCCATTGACCCCCCCACAGGTCACCCCATCACAGGAACCCGGGATGCCCCCCAATGACACCCCACAGGGCCACCCCCATCCATAGGGACCTGTGATGACCCCACAGGGCCACCTCCATCACAGGGACCAAGGATGGCCCCACTGACACCCCACAGGGACGAGGGATGGCCCCATTGACCCCCACAGGGCCACCCTCATCCATAGGGACTCAGGATGTCCCCACTGACCCCCACAGGGCCACCCTATCCCCAGGGACCCAGGATACCCCCAGTGATCCCCCGTGGGGACACTCCCAGCACAGGGACCTGCACTGCTGCCACAGGGTCTCCCTCAGCACTAGGGGCCAGGATGTCATCCCATCCTCCACAAAGATGGTTAAACACCCTCCTTGAAGGGTGATAAGGATGTGGGGAGCTCTGCTGGGATCCCCCATCCACTGCTGTGGCTGTTGTCACTCCCTATCCCATGGTAAGGATTTCATGGCAGAGCCTGGACAGGTGGAGGCATTAGTGTGGGTTATTTTTTGAAAGCAGTTTAGTAAAAAATGTGCTTGATTTCTGTCAAGTGATACATTTAAGGCAGAATGGAGGATAAGGAGATCCTCTAGCATGAAACTTGGGCTGCTGGAGGTGACACTTTGTGTCCACTTGCTGCTGGATCTCGGTGTTATTAGAGCTTTGTGATGGAACAGGTGGATGATAAACATGCTGGGATGCAGACAACAAAACCTTGAACATCCTGCCTGAGGACTGCTCTCACTCAGCATTCAGAAAATGCTCTTTCTTGCAGTGGGGAGGAGGCAGGAGAGCACAGTGAGACACAGGACAGAGCTCCCCCTTCCCTGCAGCCTCGTGGAGCCACCAGTAGCTTCTCTGCGTCCTCCCTTGGAGCTCATGTGCAGGTAGGGACTGCACTAACCACTGGAGGGGGGAAACTAACTGGGAAACAGGAACATCGTAGTCAAAAATCAGAATTTCTGTCTTGGCTTTTCCCAGAATCTTGTTTTGCAGGAGAAACAACATCCAGACTCCTCCCTTGTCAAAGAAAAATCGTAAATCATGTTCCTAATGTGCTGAAACAATCAGGGTCTGATTGAAAGGGGTAAATTGCCAAATTGTCACGGCCCCTCAGCCGTGAGATTGATCATTCCTCACATCTTTGGGACATGCAAACTCATGGACAGAGCAGGTGGCGATTAACTGGGTATTACTAATTGCTAATTGCTAATCACAAGGGCTGTCAGGGTAAAATTAGAAAGGAGATTGGTTTGTAGAAACCCAGCCCCTCTTGCTCAGTGCTTCCAGGATTTGGTTTTCGAGTTTCTGTGGGCAGAGCCTTCCAGCAGGTTTTTTCATTGCTGGAAAAGGTGTGGGGTGATTTTTCCTGGATTTTATTAGTGAAGTACTACTGCCCCAGAAGATGGGAATGCCAACATACACAGAGTGCAGGGCAAATCCAATTAGTGTGCCTTGAGCTAAGCAGCAGGCAGTTATTGTCTGTGACAATTCACTGTCACTGAGACTGGTTTGTGCTCAGTCTGTGACCTGTGAGGACATGAGGGAGAGATGCTGAGCCCTGCTCTGCCAGAGGCTCCTCACCTGGATCTGTGGAAGTCCAGACCAGGTACTGGAGTAAGAGGAAAGCGTAAAGCACTAGAACAGTGACAGGCAGCAGCTCCATCTCTGGTGTGGCCTCACCAAGCCTGGGTGTTTTTGAGCTCAGCATGAGGTTCCAATAACCTCACCCTGCTGCTGGCTCTGCTCTGAGCCAAAGGTTTGGCTCAGGACCTCCTGATGTCCCTTCCTCTGAGGCTTTGCTGTTATTCTAAGCGAGGTTGGGATGTAAATAATGTGTTACCAGCACCTTACCTGTATGTGTAACAGGCAGAACCCCCCCTGGATCCCTGGTGATGCTGTGTCCCCTCTCCCACAGGCCGTGTCCCTCCAGCAGGTGCCTGAGGTGCTGATGTGACACCCTGTGGTGGGGACCCTGCCCGTTGGAGGGCTATGGGGAAACTGCAGAGTAAACTCAGCTCCCACACCACCACATACAGGTAAAGCAATGCTGGGTGATCCTGTCTTGTCAATAAACCAGGTGTGAGAGTGAGCAGAGAACACAAGGGGCCAGAGAACAGAGCAAGCACATGGTTTCTGTTTCATTACTGAGCGTATGAATCGGGTTTTCACTTTTAACCTCACCCTGTGTGGCCAGGGAGGTGTCACAGCAAAGAGCCTGACCCATGGGAGTGACAGTGGGGGCTGGTGGGATCAAAATCTCCCTTGTTCTTTGCACCAGCACAGAGTGAACAAACGTACAAGTATTTGGCAGCTCGAGGGGTGGGGTAGGTCTGCTCCATCTCACCTGCTTCGCTCACAGCCCCTCTCAGGCTGTCCAAGGCAGGTGCTGCCACATCAGATGATGTCAGCAGTGCCATCTCCCAGACCTGGTGTCACGGGAATGGCACCCTGGCCTTGTGTCCCCCGCCCTGCAGCTCCCCCCCTGTCTGTCCGTGCTGCAGGGCCGAGGGCTCCGTGGGACAGGCGGGATCCATCGGCGCCTCTCAGCAGCACAGCCCCGCTCACACCGACGCCGTCTCCTCTGTAGCTGCCCTCAAACCAGACCTGTGTGTGTCAGGGGGCAGGGACAAGGTGAGGTACCCCCTGCCACGGTCCATGGACGGGAAAACGTGTCAACAGGTTCAGAAATAAGGTTTAAATGTGAGCTTTGAATGTTTCCATGAAGTGTTCAGCTCTTCTGTGAACATTCTGTGAGAGTGTCAGTCCCTGAATTTAGAAAGGAAAGATGAGCTTGGAGTGAGGGCCCACACTGAAGCACATGGAATCAAATTTTGTAATCTGTCCTGAGCTCAGATCACGTCAAGTGGTCTCACACAGTTTGGAATCACTAGCTGGCTCTAAAGACAGCTGGACCCGCTGCAGGAGCTCAAAACCAGAGGCACCTGCTCCCTCCCCTGTGGGCTGTGCACAGTGTGAGAGCCTGCCTGCCCTGTGCCCTGCTGACCTGTCCTGCTCCCCTGCAGAGCGTGGCTGTGTGCAGCTGGAGATCCGGGGCTGCCCTGCGCCGCTTCGTCGGGCACGAGCGCGAGGTCACCAAGGTGAGAGCGACTGGGTCTCCTGCCAGCATTCCTGGGGAGCCAGAAATCATGGAGCACTGGTTGGGCATCACACAGGGCTCCCTTTGCTCCACTAGAAAGAGGGAGTGTCCCTGGTATCCAACTGGGGACAGTTAGACTTGATGACCTTAAAGGTCTTTTCCAACCTTAACAATTCAAGGTTCCCTGATCAGAACACATTAAGTCCTTCCCAGGGTCCCAAATGATACTTTGCTGTCCAGGGAAGCATCAAGGAGAGGTGAATCCAGACTAAACAGGGCTGCAGGAGGCCTGGACATGGCCTTGTCTTCCCCTCCAGGAGACTGTGTAGCAAAGGCTCAGGATGAATTTGAGGTCACGTTTTTGATTTGGAGACACCATTCACTTTTCAATGGGTCTCATTCTGCTGGACTTGTTGTTATTCCACAGCCAGCCAATCCTGGGAACAGCAGGGCTTTAATTTCCCTTCTGGGATAGTGATGGCAAAGCCCAGCACTCCCCTGGGAGAGCAGACATGCAGGGCTGTGTACCTGTGTGTGGGGTGGCCAGTGCACCTCGACCAGGGACAGCCCCAGGGGGTCCCCTGGGTTGGGGTACTGGAGGGACATTCATCTCAGTGCTCAGGGCAGCCAAGCACTGGGCTCATTTGAGTTTGTAAGGAAGCTTTTCCTATAAAATGAATGGTTTCTAAGACCAAGATCTGAGAGCCCCCACCCTCCATCCCACCCCCTGGCTCTGGGGGGACGAGGGACAGAGTTTGGAGGTCAGGCTCTCCCCAGGCACATTCCTGCATGTTTTGGCCTTGTGACAGGACAACAGTGCCGTGTTCTCCCTGAGCAGAGCTGGGCTGGCTGGGAGGATAACCAGCTTGTCCCTGTTGTCCTTGGCAGGTCACCTCTGCCCTGGACTCCAGCAGAGTCTTCAGCGCGTCCCGGGACAAGACAGTGATGATGTGGGAGCTTCACGGGGCGTCAGGGCCCAGCCAGCACTTCCCAGGACATGAGCTGGTTGTGACTGGGCTGGCTGTGAGCCCAGGTGAGGGACAGCACACCCCCAGTCCCCAGGGACTGACTGCCAACGCTTCTGGGCTTGGTTTTGGTGTTCCCTTGTGGTTGCAGATGCCTCCCGGCTGTGCACGGGCTCACGAGACAACACCGTGTGCAAGTGGGACACAGAGACTGGGGAGTGTCTGGGCAGGGCCACCATCTCCAGGAACCTGGTAGGAGCTGCTGCTTCCTCCGCATCCCATCCTGGCACCTTGCTGCCCTCGTGGTTCTTTCACACACGAGGCTGTGGAGGGGGAATTTGCTGTGAGCTTTGTGCCCAAGGCAGCCCTGCAGGCCCTGCCCAGGCTGCCTTGACGACAGGTCCAGGAGCACAAAGGTACCAGGAGACATGTGGCACTTTATTAAGGCTCTAACTCCGAGCTGCCAGGAAGCACATAGAACCATGGGATCACTGAGGCTGGAAAAGCTCCCTAAGATCACAGAGTCCCACCATTCCCCCAGCACTGCCAAGGCCACCCCTAACCCATGTCCCCAAGTGCCACATCCACACGTTTTTTTAAATCCCTCCAGGGATGGGGACTCCACCAGTGCCCTGGGCAGCTGTGCCAGAGCTGGACAACCCTTTTAGTGAAGAAATTTTCCTTCATTTCCAAACTAAAGCTCCCCTGGCACAAGCTGAGGCCGTTCCCTCTCCTCCTGTCCCTGTTCCCTGGAGCAGAGCCCGACCCCCCCCAGCTCCCCCCTCCTGTCAGGGACTTGCAGAGCCAGAAGGTCCCCCCTGAGCCTCCTTTTCTCCAGGCTGAGCCCCCCCAGCTCCCTCACTGTGCATTCCCTGCTGTAGCAGCCCAGCAGTGGAGCTGGTGTGGGTGCCTGTGGGATCCCTGTTCCCAGGGCTCTGTGTCCTGATGAGCTGCTGGAACCTCCCTGCCTGAAACACTCCCAGTAACCCCACAGGGACCGGGCCTGGGAGGGGAGCAGGAAACACCTTCATCCAACATTTCCAGCTCCCAACCCAGCACAAGGAGGGAGAGGGTGGGAGCTCAGTGGCTGTGCATCCACAGCAGACACAGCCTGGGCTGCACACAGGGGTGGCTCCTGCTCATCCTTCCCTGTCCACAGGTGACACACCTGTGCTGGGTTCCTGGGGAGCCTTATGTCATCCAGACCTCGGAGGATAAAACAACCAGGTGAGTCCTACGGGTGGCCACAGAGAAGGGAGTGACAGCCTGGGGCAGGGGGGGTTTGGGGAAGATGCCAGTGCCCAAGGGGCTGTTCTTTGGTGGTTGTCATGACCAGCTGCTGGTGTGGCCAGAAGCCACTCCCCAGCTCACCTGGGCCTCGGAGCACAGTGCCAGGGGAGGACAGCCAGGGACACAGGGGCTGTGAGCAGCACAGGGTGGTGACTGCTGGTAAAAAGGAGAGTTTGTGGAACAGAAAGCTCAGCTCAGCTGCTCTGGCTGGAGAGTGATCCGGGATGGATGAGTGCAGGGGTGGATTCGGGAGGCAGGAGGGGGCTGCCCCAGGAGGGATGGCAGAAGGGCAGAGCGGGAGGGCACGGGGTGGATGGGGGAACCCATCGTGGAGATGATGCCTCAGAGTGCCCTTCCCCTCCCCTGTTCCCTGCAGGATCTGGGACAGCCGGGAGCTGCAGGTGGCACACACGTTCCCAGCCAAGCAGCACATCCAGACGTGCTGTGACGTGAGCCAGGACGGGCGGTACTGCCTGAGCAGCAGCCAGGGCGGAGAGGCCACCGTGAGTGTGCTGGGCTCCTGCTCCTTCCCCAGTGCCCCTGGGGCACAGCAGAGAGCAGCAGATCGGTGCTCCGGGGATCTGAGTGTTCCCTCTGCTCTGGATTTGTGCTCGTGTCACCAGCCAGCACCAGAGCTCAGTGCCTTCCTGCCTTGGCCCTTTGGGAAATTCTGCTCAGGGAATATCAGAATATCTTCCTGATTAAAGCACTTGGATTTTCCCCATCCTTGGAGGTGTTCAAGGCCAGGCTGGGTGAGGCTTGGAGCAACCTGGTCTAGTGGAAGGTGTCCCTGCCCATGGCAGGGGAATGGAGCTAGTTGATTTTTAATGTCCCTCCCAACCCAAACCAGTCTGGGATTCTATTTCAGTAAAACACACAGGGGAAAAAAACAAGAGAAGGCATCAAGGAGAACAAGGTTCTTGCAGAAAGCCTGTAAGGGACCTCATGCTCCAGGTGCTTCCAAACCAGAGATTCAGCTTTCACAATAGCTCATTATTCTGTGGTGCTGCTGAGCAATGTTTGCCTTTCTCCTCTGTGCCCTGGGGGATCTTTCCCAGATCCACGTTTCCCCCTCTGAAAATACAAGGCCTTGAAAGCAGGAACATGGTAAAGTCACTTGAAAAGGAAAAAAACCCACAGTGTTCGATGATCAGGGAGGTCCAGTCAGTGTGAACCAATTTTGCAGTTTTCCCTTGGCTGCCTCACGACACAAACAGGGCTGTGCCAGTGTCTGGGTGACCCCAAACCTGGTTAGAGCCTTTTGCCACTCATGGGCATTCTGTGTCTCTTTGAGCTTAGAATTGGCAGCTTCTCAGCCCTATGTGTGAGGATCAAGAGGATGAGACTATCCCATCCCATCCCATCCCATCCCAGGGAGGGCAGGGCTGAGGATGGGACTGGGCTGGAGCCTCGTTACCTGCCTGCACAGCCTTAGCTCTGTGGGCACGTGCTCAAATAGTCAGAAATCCCTCGGGATTTGACATTCCCCGGGACTCTGAGCAGGAGCAGGGACAAAGGCAATTGAGGACTGGCAAGGAGCAATTCCCCCAAGCTGCTCTTCCCTCCCTGCCGGCCCCTGACAGTGTCAGACCCAGCCCTGACTCTGCCTCTTCCCTCGCAGCTGTGGGACCTGCGGCAGACCCGGGGCCGGGTGTGTGAGTACAGGGGGCATTTCCAGACCACCACCTCGTGTGTTTTCATCCCGCGGGGCCCAGCCCTCGCCCCCAGCGTGGCCACATCCTCCAGCGACAGCACAGTGAAGGTCTGGCACCGGGACACGGCAGGTAGGGGGGGGCTCCTGCTGGGAGAACAAAACTTGTGTTAGTGCTTCCTTGTGTCTGTCTCCTGGTGGTGATGGGCGGGAGGAAGCCTGAAATCTCTGGAATTTACTCCGTTCCAGCTGCAGGGCAGGGTGGAGACATCCCCCAGAGCAAACCCAGGGGCTTCTGCTTGCCCTGCAGAGGAGGAGGTGGGTTGGGTGCATGTCAGAGGTGACAGGTGTCCTTCCTAAACGAAGAGCAAGAATTATTGAGATGGCTTTTAAAGATACATCCAAGCTCAGCAGTGAACAAATGATTAAAAA